GCGCTATTGAGCTTTTTCAATAGCTTTCACAAATAGAAAGATTGAACTATTTATTTTTTGTGTTCAAAATTGTTTTATATTTCTTAAAGTTACGAGAAGCAGGCAGACCCGAATTGGTCTGTGCTTATTATTTAAGAACAATAGTTTGTATATAGGCAAGCGAACCCGAATAAGAACGTGTCAATTTTAGCGAAGAGACAATTATTAGTTATAATTTTGAGTAATGCAAGTGGCCGATGCGTACCAAATGCATGAAGCGAACGAACTTAACTAACTCGATGCGCAGCATCGAGGCCTTCGCATAAGTAAAGCTAGGGCAATAAAACGATCGTTACAGCGAAGAGCGGCAGCTTTATGTAAATGAATTCTTAAGAGCGAAATTTAGGCCCTTGTTTTGCAGAGCGAGTATTATAAGATAAAATTAAGATGCTGCTCTTATCAGTTGCGAAGTCGCTCCAGTTGTTTTGGCTGCGTAACCAGACAGTAGTATTGTTGAAAATTTTGTTGTCATGTTTTCGTAGGGTTGTGTGCTACTTTTATTTCTTGCTTGTTGTAGTATTCTGAGTTCGTGAGACGTACTGATAATTGTGGTACTTGTATTAAAGACATATATATTTTGAAAAGTTCTGTAGGCTATTGTGTTCTACATTGTTGTCTATTTAAAAATGTATTAATTATATTCTGTGAGAAGTCGTTTTTGGTCAAATGTTGTTTAATATCGTGTCCAATTTCTTTGTGGTCTCTTGGTTAGTGCTCTGAAGATGGTTCCCGAGATTTAGCACTCAAGGTTATATCAGGCTAGACGCCTCTGAATTCGAAAATGTAAGGTGGTCCGAGTCAAATTTGATTGATGCGAACAATAGGCAGGTAGTCATTAATACACAAACACAGACACAAATTAACAAACTCACCGACACGGTGAACGAAATAATTAAATGTAAAAGAAATTAATTGGTAAACACACCGCATTTATATGAAACACTATTAGTAAGAAATATAATACTTATAAATCAAATATCGAACTTGATACTTACAATTACACTAGCCAAAGCGGGTATAATAAACCCCACAATATTTGACCACGATGATTTGAAATCAATTATAAATAAACATCCTGTCGAAATTCCCATAGTTAACCCAACCGAAGCGTCTAAAATCAAGGTTCTTCAGTCCCAGAACATTGTCCATATATTAATAGCGTATCCCAGGGTCAAGCTCTTTTGCAAGAAAATCACCATCTTTCCGGTGGCACACCAACACGTCACACTACAGCTACAAGATGATACAAAAGCCGAATACGACAATGAAATCCTAGCGGTCAATGAATGAGTAACGACGACCTACGCCTAAAAACCATTAACAGTTATAAAATAACCGGGAACGGTCAAAAGCTTGAGAGAGGAGTAGTCAACACATAAGAATTGCACTTCATATTTATGTCATATAAAAACACACTTTTGTTTATAAGAACGCAAGAATGTTGCAGTGCACTTTGCTTTACTGCGACATTCTGCTGAGCTACGAGTTCAGTGCCCGGCCACTGCGGCCAGCAGCGGTAACCTGACACTTGCCTATGCCGCAAGCGACAGTGTTGGAGTATGCCCAATCGGCTTGCCGGATATAGTAGCTAAGACTTATGCGCCTAGCCTTAGGGTTCAGATCTAATTCAATGTTTTAATTCTAGTTTGGTTTGTAACCAACTTTGTAGGAACAACTTCTTCAAATATACTGCTCCGGCACTTGCCGTTATCAGTCCGTTACTAGTTGTTTCATTGCTGAGCCACAAGGTCAGTGATTTGGAAGGCTAGTTGCTTTCCGAACATAATCTACAAGTTTACCAATCTCAGCACTTGTGACAAGGGTCTGAATATACATCAACATCTACAATTGAAAAAATCACATAACTTACAGGTGTGAGCTATATTATTCAGGTAAAAAGCTTATATGCTACTGGATACTAATTTATAAAAGTTGCTGCGCACGCACCACCGAATTTCGCAGCTGCTATTAGGTACCAACGACGGAAGAAAGACAACTGTTCATCAGTCAATTCTGGCCATATTGGGTGTATGAATACGTGCGTGATCTTGCGCGGTACATGAAGTGATTTGTCAAACGAACACCTCCATCGTCCTGTAAGCAAACGTGATCATTATCAAGCAAACCATCCTGGAAAAAGACAAGGAGACAATACGAACAGTCGTCGGGATAGCTATCGAGATCCTTCAATGACCTGTGACCAAAGTCGGTGTGCTAGGCGCCGAACATAATAGAGGTAAACAAATTCCTGAAGATAATGCGGAAAATGCAGGTGCTTGTTACCAAGGCCTCAACATTAAATGAAAATATTTTGCTCTTTTCTGCATAGTACCTAGATGATATTGGTCAAATCTTTATAGTAGTTCTGGATAACAGACCCACTATCGAGACAATACGTTAACTAAATCTACACATGTTGTCTGGACTTGCCTAACCAGGGGGCAACTCAGGCCGCTCCTGGTTGATTACGAGCCACTGCCATAAAATTGGGCTCACTCTATTGTGTTTACACGTGAAAAAGATTGCCACATTAAGCCTGTTCTGCATCCATATTTGCTAATATATAAAAAGGGTCTGGTAAATTCGTCTGCAGGGCCTCGGAAAGTGGCAACAACTACAGCAATTGCGAAGAGAAGAGATGGCTTAAACTGTTGTTCGCCTACCTGGTAGGGCACCACACAGCGAAATATCACCTTCACAGAATACACCTCTTAAATATCTTATTGTACGTTCTTCTTCACAAAAACACTTATGTATTTTCTCAGTGAAAGTTGGGAAAGGTGAAATAAAAACTTTTTTAGAAAGGCATGGCTCCTCTTCATAGGGAAAGTCGAACAACTCTTGTTCATTAGCGAGCAGTAGGTACAATAGACCGTATTGACTCACTTTTATCAATAGACGTGTAGGTATAGATTAATTTACTTATTATTTTAAAATTTCGAAAGCAGGTTCGATGCTTTGTATGCGGTGGTAAAGTCCATGCCCGACATAATGCAAACAATTCAAACAGAAAACATTTCATTCCGTGTTCTTTATTCTAAATCCAACTGCAACCTATCCGCAATTATATTAATCTTGCAACATATTAATGCGTAATATATAGTATATACAGCAATATATTTGTATATTGTTTGTAAGACCATTTAAGAGTAAACACTGTTATTTTACGGGGTTAACCTTTGTGTTACTTAAACATATTTTTTATTTAACGATTTTCATGTTCCAAGATTATTGGAGATTGGAGCCGCTTGCCTCCGTCAGGCTACGCATATATTGAGCTTGTACATATCTTCCATATCTTTTACTTTACTTTTCGCGTGCTAACATTTCTCTTGCTCGACCCAAATCGTGTAAAATATAGTGCTAGGGAAAATTATCAGTCATTAAATAATTTTTTTAATAAACAATTTAATTTTAATTTTTTTTGTATTTTGATTTGCTAGCTCGAGGGCCAGGGTTTAGTTTATTGAAAACAAAAGTAAAAAAAATTGGCTTTATTCGATTGCTTATCGGCAACCGTCTTCAGGGCACTAACACCAAGAAACAATAAACAAATAACATTAAAATAAATTAATTTAAGCAATAAATTAAACATTTAACATACGTCTGCGCTTCTTGACTTGAAGATTGAAATTCTTTGGCTATTTAATAAGTCTCAACACAAGCGAGCGCAATTTTATGTGTATTTGTTTAAGTTTACTCTTTAGTTTGTTGTGTAGCTATTTTATTGTATGCTGTATGTTGAAGTGTTGCAGGATTATTGTTGTTTCCTTGTCATACAGTCGGTCATTGGTGCTATTTTTATACCCTGAACCCATTAAAATGGGTAAAATAAGTATAATGTATTTATGTAAATATATGAAACAGGCAGAAGGAAGATGCACCGATCCCATAAGGTACATATATTCTTCAACAGCCGAATCAATCCAGCCATGTCCGTCCGTCTGTCTGTCTAACCGTCCATCCGTCTATCCGAACGTATCAACGCGAGGATATCAGAAACTATAGCAGTTAGAGACAGATTTTCCGATATTCGTAACTTGGTCCGTTTCCAAGTAATCGATAAAAATCGACATCAAAATCCTTTTTTTTTTACCAATTTTGGTAAATAATAAGAGCTAGAGTAAAATAATTGATATATTGCTCTCAGATGTATATATGTGATTCGCTTGTTTTGGGGACAGACAAAAGGTGGGACTTTCACTATGTTTTTCTATTAATAAGCCCCCAAATAATCATCTCTCTAAAAATGGGGCATTTTGGAGCTTTCTGATAAAAAATATGTGCGTTTGGTCATACAGAGATTTATTTGGGGACACGATATGCAAAGATTATTTCTGGGACCGAGTCTTCAAAACTGACTTTAAATACTTTACCAAAATATTATATATAATCATAATCCATTAGAAAGCTTATTTTGGGGACAAAAATTTAGAGTTGCCACCTGGTCTAAAGGCTTATTGGCTAAAGCTATTTTTAGGGACAGGGAACGGTGGAATGAATTGGATAGGTAACGATTATTTCGGGAACACTATATGAGACGTCCTTATTGGGGACAATATCCCTCAAATAACTCTAGCGCATATTACCGAATATACAAACATTTAAATATGGAATTAGAACACGGAAACTTTTACTTACTCCCATTTGAGTAAGTATTTGGGATTTTTATTTTTTGTTTACCGCCAACCCATTAAAAATTTATGAAAGTGGTATAACGAAGTTTTGCTTATTTAGCAGTGTAAAATAAATTTAATCTATATCTATTATTAACGAAATAGTGTCGATTTAGACACGCCCGTCACTCCATTTGTCTGTCGGATCAATATTAAACGAAATTATTGATCATCATGATCAATATTAAACGAAATTATTGATCATCATAAACTTGTATGAAAAGTAAACATGCAATTTTTATATATTTTGTTATAAGATTATTTTATTTTATTTTTATTGTTTTAAACCATTAAAACGATTTTTTCCTCCCCTCCGCTTTTCTCTGGTTGTCCAGAAAAGTCTTTAGTTGAGCTGAAGTGCGGCCGCGAAAGCATGGATTTTTATTTATTATTTGGGAACATTTTTTAAGCGATGGCAACTTTTCCAATTTTTCTAAATTCCCAAATGTGTTTTCCAGTTGCTTGCATTCGCCTGGGCCCCATCGTACACGGCGCGTTTTTCCATACGGAGACGCTGCAATAAAAAAGATAAAGTTTTGAATTACCGTGATATTACATAAGTTTATTTATATAAGTAAATGAATAAGTTTTGATTTGTCATGCCGTTAGTAATCGATCTGTTAGAGATTGAGCTCCATAAAAGAAGGAACCGTGGGACTCTGTTTGTATTGTTATATTAAGTATTATACTGAAAATGATTACTTGTTGGCTATTCTGTAATACTAACTGCTTCGACGTTTTACCATTTTTTTGGGAGGCGAATAATTTGCGTCATCTGACGTACATACAAACTCCGGCGGCTCTTCATCATTTGATTCATTTGAGATTTCTGAATTATTAATTTCAGCTGTAAGAAAAAGTACGTTAAAGCATTTTTTTAAATATTTTGTTTGCTTGCTTGAGGTCCGGGTTTGTTTAAATAAACAGTTGAAAAAAATTTAATTTAATATATTGCTTCCAATAAAATAAGCAAAATATTAAATTAAATAGTTTTGAACTTCGGGCTAGCCATACCAACAAAATATTGTTTATTTTGCAAAAATGACCGCCAAGAAGTGTGAAACCACCGTAGAGCAGCGAAAATATATTAAATTATATACCTATAAAAAATTAACGCAAGCATGGCAGATCCTTTTAAGAATTTGCCGAGCTATTGGACAAAAGTAAATCAGTTATAGACGAGCGGCACAAAATTGAACCAAATGTTTAATGAAAACTGATGCATTTAATGACAAATCGAAAACAAAATGGCAAAATCACTAAACAATAATTTTTATTTCTTGTTTTATTTTTCCATATTTTAACACAATTATTTTAGCAATTGCCAATACTTTTGTATCTATGAAAATATGCAAATCGAATGTTTTTTATTTGAGAGTGTTGAAGAACTAAAAATGTTCCTTTTTTAATGCGTTCAAATAGGTTGGATATATAAAAGAACTTAAAAAAAACATATACAATAAAATAATAATTAAGTTATTCTGTAATTTTTATTTTTTAGTTATCAATTTAACATCCTTCTGCTGACTTCAGCAGTTAAACTAGTTCCCTTCTATGAACAAACTATGAAATTTGCACTCACCCTGTACGCTGCAATCAGTTTGCATATCTGCTCTTGCATCCAGACTATTTTGACCAGTGCCTATTGAAAAAAAAAGAGAAAATATTTGTTGTAAAATAATACTTATAATACATATGTATGAAAAAAACAAATATAAGTTGAATTAAATATTTATCCTTACCCTTGGCGCCCCAGTTTGTGGCCATATCTGCTCCAACATCAGCACTTTTTGGAATATCAGCTTCTGTACAAAAAAAATATATATATTTTTTTATAAAATTTTTAGCTTTTTGTGCAAGAAATGACTTTATGTACCTTTGTATGAGTGTATGAGAATTTAACTTTTCGTGTTAATTTGCCTTTGTACATACAGTCACGGACAAAAGTATTGGCAATTGTGGTGTTGTCAACTAAAAATTCGAAATTTGAGAATAACCAACTTATTATTTTATTGAAATATATTTTTTTTATGATCTTTTAAATATCTAACTCACTTAAAAGTATTAAAAAAGGAACATTTTTTGTTGCTTCAAGCCTTACAAATAAAAAACAAAAAATATGGTAATTTTCATAGGGACAAAAGTATTGGCAAAAACTTAAATAATTGTGTTAAAATTTAAAAAAATAAAACATGAGATAAAAATTAATACTTAGTCGGCATGCCTTTTTGTTTTATAACGCTTTCCAGGCGATTTGGCATCGAATGCACCAATTTTCGGGCAACATTTGGCTCAATTTTGTGCCACTCTTCCATTAGGGCTTCTTTAAGCTCAGTCTTTGTTGAAAATGTTTGCTTTCTAAGCCTTTTTTCTAGTTCCTCCCATTGGTGCTCGATTGGATTGAGGTCTGGTGATTGAGGAGGATGTGGAAGAACATGAGCTGTATTGTATGCAAGCCACATTCGCACATCATGGGCCGTGTGCTTTGGATCATTGTCCTGTTGAAAAGTGAACTGACTGCCTAACATCAACTTTTCAGCGCTTTTTTTTAAATTTGCCTTCAATATTTCCAAGTAAACACGCTTGTCCATTGTTCCTTCGATGAAAACTAGTTCACCCACACCAGCTGCGGACATACAACCCCACACCATAACACCTCCACCACCGTGCTTTACTGTGGGCATTAAGTTGCAACTATTGTATGCCGTATTGGGTTTTCTCCACACTTTAATGCGGCCATCTGAGCGAAAAATATTAAACTTACTTTCGTCGGAGAATAGGACATCGTTCCAGTAAGTTAATGGCTTCGATTTAAATTCTTTGGCGAATGCCAATCTCTTCGATTGGTTAACACTCGAAATGAGTGGTTTGCGTCTTGCAATTCTCGCATTGTACCCAGCCTTGTGTAGTACCCGCCGTACCGTTTTGGAGTGAATTTCTTTCCCAGTCTCTTCTTTAACCTCTGATACTATTTTGGATGATGTGATTTTTGGGTCTTTCTTGATCTTTCTTATTATTTGGGTGCAATCACGATCGGTTAACTTTCGTGGGCGGCCGGTGCGTTCAGCGTTTTCTATTGTAGGGTCGTCTGAAAATCTATGGACTATGCTCCGAATGGTAAATTGACTTCTGTCCAATAGCTCGGCAATTTCTTTAAAGGATTTGCCTTGTTTGCGTAAATTTAAAATAATTTTTCGCTGCTCTACGGTGGTTTCACACTTCTTACCGGCCATTTTTGCAAAATAATATATAAATTGATGCTTAAACAATTTTTTCTAAGTATTTTTTTTTTAAGATTCAAATAACGGTGCTTACAGAGTTTCATTTTTGCAAAGAAAAGTGTGACCATATAAAAATACTATTAAAATAACAACTTTATATTGAAAATTGCCAATACTTTTGTCCCTATAAAATTACGGGTACTTGGAATTAAATAATTATTAAAAATTAACCATGCCGCCAAAGTTTATAAAAATAATTAGATTACATGCACAAATAGCTAATAATCGTATGAAAAATATAAAATTGTTAAATATTAGACGGTATATTGGACAAAACCGACAATAAAACAAGATAATATAAAATTGCCAATACTTTTGTCCGTGACTGTATCTGTTTAACGGAAATTCAACAACATACAATTCAATTCAACTCAATTTAATATACACATACAAAAGTACATAAGTTTACATAATATGTATATGTAGAATAGCACATACATATACATAGCGATCATCACACGATTTCTCTAAAAAGTATAATATGCACTTGTACATGCATTAAACATTTGACTTACCATTTAGGCTTTTGAATTTATTTTCCAGGCGAGATGCACTTGAAGCTTTATCTATAATAAAGGCCTCGTATTTCGCGCCTTTAAATTTCGCGAAACATTTTTCTTTTTTTATTACAACTTTGTTTTGCGGTAGTATATAATACTCCCCACATTTTACTAAATAAAACATTTTTTATAACTTTTTTAATTCGTCGCTCAAAAACTTCGAAATTAAAATAACCGCACAGGCGATTGCGATTAACTGGAAAATTGGTTTTCCTAGAAATCAATCGATAATTCCCAAAATAATCGTAAAATCGTATTGACTCATTCTATTCAATTTATACAAAATGATTATGTGCGTCAAGTTAGCGGCGGTGACATAGCGTCAATTTGTGAAACTTGTTATCGGAAAAGGAATCGCTCACTTTTAAATGCATTTATTTATGTTTTTAAGCACACAACCTAAAAAATGTAAATGCAGAATTGAAAAAAATTAAATTATTTACTGTCTATATCTATTTCTTTTTGAATTTTAATTTATAATATGGTTAAACCAAGGGGTTGAAAATTAAGCTTTCCACCATTCTTTAAATATCTTAACTTCGATAATGGCCCCGAAAACCGCATATACACGATTAAGGTCTATAGTTTCACCTAACCAATCTTGGACAAATTATAAAAAATTTTAAAGATATTTGTAAAACAGTGCTGCAACCATACAAAATGACCGTAAAAAATAACCCTTGCACTTGAACCCTAATATCTTTTCTCAGGGATAATGAACGGTACACCAACTTAAAGAGACGGAATAAATTAATTTAAAATATTAGTATATGGGAAAGAAATACAGTAATAAACGACATAATTGGCATTTTACAATAAAACATCTTTATTAAAATATATTACTACGTAATAAGGAAACAGTGCATTTATGTATTTATACACAGAATTATAAAAAGGTGTCAATATTTCAACAAATTTTCATTTATATTTTTTGGTTGTTTAACATATAGATCGCGAATTATCAATCATTTTGTTTTTTATATAAAAAAATTCGTACAGCTAGTTTTTAAACAAATTTTTGTATATCTATTTCTCTATTATACCCTATGTTAATGAAAAAAAACTAGCTGGCAATAATTACCTAACATTTTTATTCATCAATATAGCAGTAATTTGCAATTCTGCATTTAAATTTATTAGGATTTGTGCTTAAAAACATAAATAAATGCATTTAAAAGTGAACGATTCCATTTTCGATAACAAGTACGAAAAATCGACGCTAAGTCACCGCCGCTAATTTGACAAAAAAGGAGGGCGAGTTGAAGAAAAAGCCAGCCCCCAAAATGCAGAAAGTGCCCGAAGCTGAGCTCAACCAAAATGCAAAAATGCAAAAAGTAAAATTCTTAAATATGAGTGCCCCAATACCAACTCCCAAATCAATCCAGCTATGTGCCAAGAGCAACAAAGCAAAACGCATGAACAACACCTCCAGAAAAGTAACTGAAAACACCCCCGAATAAAAGCTTAAGGAAACCAATCAAGCGCACAAGCGCTTTCGAAGCAAATATATTTGGAGGAGTGCAAAAACTGAGGCAACAAGCGGAACTAAAGGAAGAAAGTGAAGCCTCAGCATCGCCACAGCTGTCGAGCTTTAACAATCACAGCGTGGATGGAACTCGACGGCCTTGTCTAATGATCCGGCTTGGTACGTGCCTTGGAAAAATCAGCGAAAAAGCCAATTAAACGTGCAGCCAGCACATCACAAACGATGTTTGATCTTTGTTCCTCCGATTCCGCTACGGCATTTGGCACTTGCTGCAACCAGTCTGATGGCGATGGCGACTATACTGTGGTAACATCTACAACTAGCTGCAAGCCACCTGTAACCGTCACCAAAAGCTGTGGCCTAATGTCCAAATATTAAGCTAACAAAAAAAGAATGCGCATAAAGTAACGCCAACCGATCGGGCGCAGCTCGAGCAACTTTATGCTCACCGAGCCCCCCCCTCATTTGACAACTGTAAGCGCGCAAGTTTCTTAAGTGTCACTTAGGTAGTAGCAGCTTTGATGGTTGCTACTCGATTTATTAACGTCCCACTGCGAAGCTGGCGGCTATGTTGTGTTTCGATGCGAAGTCTGTGGATTCCAGTAGCAGCGATGAAGATATATTTGATCGTGTTCAGCGTTACGGATGGGTCAAATCTGTGCTGGAGAAAAGCAACGAAGGCGATTGATTCGCCCAATTGTTGACTTATTACTATGAGCAAATCGTTGTGAATACTTGTTAATATATTTCACATTTAATGCTCAACATCTTGAATTATATTATTATGTTTGACGAAAGTTTGTTACATTTAATTTTATTTAAAATTTCGCTATTAACAACAAAAACATGACTAAAATTCCATTATGCATTCATCAAATTTTCGAAAATCCCGCCTTAATACACACTTGATCCAAAAAATAAGTACATGCAGGTAGCAGATCAGACGACCATATAAGCTTAAATAAAATCAATTAGACGAAATTCGAGTTCAGGTGTTATTGGTCTTATACTATCACAGACACAAAAGTAGGTTGGGTTTATTATCTGTAATGTATTTGTCATTTTGAGGACACACGAAAATAGTACAATAAGCGCTACTGATGACTGTAGAATTCTTGTGTGCATGTACACACATATATATGTGTATTATCTATGTATGTAAATATATATCTTATCTACGTTAATCTATGTAAGTATATATATGTACATATACATATATACACAAGAATAATTAAACCAATACATACGTATGTATGTGCATATGTACTTACTTACCCTCTAAATAGGAAAGCAGGTGCTTCAAACCAAATTGCTTAAGGAGCTCCCGAAGCCTTTGCTCCGGCAATATAGCTTTTTTATTCCCGTACATTTCTGAGTCACCGAACTCTTTATTTGAAATGGCACGCGTTGGCTTCAGCAAAAGAATTAGAAACAAAATTGAGAGAGCGAACGCGTGCCAATTCTTTCTCACTTTTTTGGGCTCTCCAACTTTTCAAGATTTTTAAACCTTGAGTTAACTTTTATTCTTCTTAATTTTTTAAAGCTTACATTAAGTACAAATGCTGCATCAAATAAATTTTTTGTACTTGATTCAAGAACATTAGTACTTATTCTAAGACCTTTCAGAGCTTATATGAAATGAAGTACGAATTATACTTAACTCAAGAATTTTTATCTCGATTCGAGCCCAAGAAGTGTGGTTTTTTAAAAAAAAAAATTTTTCATTACTGCTGAAGCAGACAAGCTCTGCTAGCGCGAGCTGAATTTGGTGTTGGTGGAAGAGGGTTCTGGGTGAATACCCGCTAGGGAATAGCGGGAGCTCCCTACCATTAATAAAAAAAACTATCTCATTTCATATAAACTCTTGCACACCGAATTTATTTTCATAAAATAAATACTTTCAGACTTTTGACTCTGAAAGGGGTATTGGGGTATTGTCCCCAAAAGGAATGTCACATATAGTGTACCCGAAATAATCGTTACATTAGAAATAATTCCACCGTTCCTCTGTCCTCATAAAAGCTGTTGTTCATATATATGTGCGGTGTTGCCACATCGATGGAATTTGATTTTATATTTTTGATAAAATAATCAATGATTGGTTAAATATGTTGTTGTTCATATATTTTAAACATATATTTAACCAGTAAAAATGAGATTAACTTAACTGGGGTCATAAATACTAAACGGACAATTAAAGAAAAATCATAGAAGTATGGGTCTCCAAAATTGACTATATACATAATCTATAAAAATTAAAAAAGGGCTGTAACTTGTTTTATAAAACCTAGATTGGCTTAATGCTAAGTCAATCTTTATCGAAAAAAAGTATATTTTTAAACCATACATAATTCATATCCAAAAGTACATATCTTTGCTTTGAAAACGAAAATGTCCTCAAAATTAACATTGCACCTTCGATTTTTTCGGGGACAGTCCCCGATAGTGGCAAATGTCCCTGAAATAACCTCCTTACCCAAAAAGTGCCCCCAAAATAAGCGCATCACATATATATATATATATATATATATATATATATATATATCAAGCTCCGTTCAGTTAATACCTATTGCCACCTTTCCGCTACCACCGCAGAGCTATAAATCAAGTTAATAACCCAACTTATATTGCCCATGAATTTGAGCCACATTTTAAATGCAATTTTCTTTTTGAGTTCAATAAGATGTTCTGATGGTTCAATAAGATGTACTCTAGAACATTTTATTTAGATTGGTTAAGAAAATCCTATAAGTTATAAGTTATAAATTCCAAGAATTTCTGTATACATGTACACACACACACTCATGCGCATCTGCTGCGAAATCTGTCAACAGCATTGCGATTGCGATTGTTTTTGTGCTGATATTTTAATTCAATAAGACACAATTATTGGTGTGACTGTTGAGTAGAGGTGGTGCGGTCTGTCGCGAATTCGAGAATTCTTAATTTGAAGTCCGATTTGTGTCACATTATCATTGTTTTTAGTTTACACTCTATTGAAATTATTGTTGGTGACCCCGCAACAATGTATTTTGTAAATTACATTACTTCTATGTATTGTAGTATTGTTGAAAATTTTGTTGTAATGTTTTTGTAGGGTTGTGTGCTACTTTTATTTCTTGCTTGTTGTAGTATTCTGAGTTCGTGAGACGTACTGATAATTGTGGTACATGTATTCAAGACATATATATTTTGACAAGTTCTGTAGGCTATTGTGTTCTACATTGTTGTCTATTTAAAAATGTATTAATTATATTCTGTGAGAAGTCGTTTTTGGTCAAATGTTGTTTAATATCGTGTCCAATTTCTTTGTGGTCTCTTGGTTAGTGCTCTGAGCTCCCGAGATTTAGCACTCAAGGTTATATCAGGCTAGACGCCTCTGAATTCGAAAATGTAAGGTGGTCCGAGTCAAATTTGATTGATGCGAACAATAGGCAGGTAGTCATTAATACACAAACACAAACACAAATTAACAAACTCACCGACACGGTGAACGAAATAATTAAATGTAAAAGAAATTAATTGGTAAACACACCCCATTTATATGAAACACTATTAGTAAGAAATATAATACTTATAAATCAAATATCGAACTTGATACTTACAATTACACTAGCCAAAGCGGGTATAATAAACCCCACAATATTTAACCACGATGATTTGAAGTCAATTATAAATAAACATCCTGTCGAAATTCCCATAGTTAACCCAACCGAAGCGTCTAAAATCAAGGTTCTTCAGTCCGAGAACATTGTCCATATATTAATAGCGTATCCCAGGGTCAAGCTCTTTTGCAAGAAAATCACCATCTTTCCGGTGGCACA